CTGTTTTCGGGGGAGGGGGCGCGGAGGGGCCCCGCTGGGGGGGAGGGGGGAAGATGGGGGCTGTTTGGCGGGGGGCGCAGAGCTGGGGCTCCCTCGGGGCGAGGGGGGGCTGTTTGAATGGGAGGGCGCTGGAGGGGAGGGGGCGCAGGGGTGGGGCCCACTCGGGGCAGAGGGGGACTGTTTGGATGGGACACGGAGGGACCCGCTGGGGGGGGGTCCCAGGTGGGGCCCGCTCGGGAGGGAAGGGGGGCTGTTTAGGGGGACACAGAGGGGTCCGCTTGGGGGGACATGCAGACGCCCCCTTCTCCCTTCGGTCACGTTTTCGCCCCCCAGCCGTTGTCCCTCCGCCCCAGCCCTCCCCGAGCACAGGGATCGCGAGCTGCCAGCTCCATGCCCCAATGGCATGACCCCCTCTCCCCGTTTTAATTTGTAAGGGTCACACTCAGAGGTGACTGCGTGAAAAGGGGTCACCAGTGCCACAGGTGCCCAGGTAGGGCGCTGGGCAGATGGTTCCCAGCCGGCTTTGTCTACTCCAGAGAGAGGTGATGCGGATTGGGGCGGGCCAGGGCTTGTCCTGACCCGTCCTCACTTCGCTGTGGGCCTGTTTAGCTTCACCAGCCCAGAGCCCCCACCGCTGGAGCAGATCAGGATCAGCCCTATGTTCAGACAAGCCCCTGCCAGGCTTTCAGCCCCAGGCCACCAGTGGTGCATCTGCTGCCTGGCCATGGTGCTGGGGAACCACTCCCCTGTGTGGGACACCAATGCAGGCTCTCTGCTGTGGCTTGCAATAGTCTCGGGAGCCCTGGTTTTCAATAGGGATAGAGCAGCAGTAGTTCCCAGCATCCCAGAAGACTAGGGGCCTCTTGTCTCTGACTGGCAAGTGTCCCCTTCTTGTATGAACCTAACCAACTGTTTCCGTTGTGCCGCAGAGCTCCATCCAACACCATGGCACCATCCAGGAAGAAAACAGCCAATGGAACCAGCAAAAACAATGTGAAGAAGAAAAAGCTCGCTGCATTTTTAAAGGACTTTGACCGTGAAGGTAACCATTGCATTCATTCATAAAACTTGTTTTCTACAAAGGCTTCAGGGTCCTGAGTTGTTTTCCAGGTTAATTTAATGCTGGTGAAAGTTATTGTCTTGACAACCCTGGAGACTGACACCTCAGGACACTGAAGTCCTGTACAGGCAGGACAGGTACAGCACAAAAGCCATAGCTTTGATCCAGAAGGATGACTTTGAGGGATATGAGAAGGTGGTTTAATCCTTGATGCTCATGCCATCCTTGCCCTTTCCTGAGGGCTAGTTGTGATGAGTATGCTGCAATGTTGATGCGAGTCTACTAGGAACTAAACTAAAATAGGACATAGGAACTCTTTTCAGAGGTCACTGGCAGCTGTCAAATATTAATATTGGGTGCTTGTCAATCGGATATTTAGAGAGACATGGTACGTGAGGTAATATCTCTTATTGAACCAACTTCTGTTGGTGAGAAGCAGGCTTGCGTGCTTACGTAGAGCTCTTCAGATCTGGGAAATGTACGCTCGGTGTCACAGCTAAATACAAGGTAGAACAGATTGTTCAGCATAAGTAGTTAATATATATTTCAAGGGACCATTCAATGTGAAGTGGCCCGTTAATATCTTTCCAGTTATTGGGGGGAGGTTTAGTGGGTTATAGATTGTTGTAATAAACCATAAATCCAGTGTGTGTGTATTCAGGTCATGATTTTTAGTATCTAGCAAAGTTATGAATTTAAGTTCCCAGGCTCGTCTTTTGAAGGTGTTGCACAGGTTTCCTTTGAGGATGAGGACTGAGAAGTCAGACATAGAGTGATGTGGTATTTTTGTCTTTTATCATTTTTCTGTGTGAGTTCATTCAAAAGCATAGTGATTGCCTAGTTTCGCCCACGTAGTTGTTACAAAGGTACATTTAGTGCACTGGCTGAGATATACCATGTGTTGTGATAGGCATGTGTAGAAGCCATGGATTTTGAGAGGTGTGTTGTAAGGGGTGTTCATCACCGCAGCAGTGGAGATATGTCTACAGGTTTTGCATCTATTGTTCTGGCAGTGTCTGGTGCTGCTTTGAGTTAATGTGTCTTGGTCTGTGCAGAACTGCTTTTGTAGTTGGCTAGCCATTCACAGTCTTTGTTTAATCCTGATCTGATGGTGTCAAATTTGCAAATGAACTGAAGCTCATCAGTTTCTCTTTGGAGTCTGGTCCTGAAGTATTTTTGCTGTAAGATGGCTACCTTAACATCTGCAATTGTGTGGCCAGGGAGGTTGAAGTGTTCTACAGGTTTTTGTATATTGCCATTCCTGATATCTGACTTGTGTCCATTTATCCTTTTACGTAGTTTGGCCAATATACATAGCAGAGGGGCATTGCTTGCACATGATGGCATATATAACATTGGTGGACGTGCAGGTGAATGAACCGGTGATGATGTAGCTGATCTGGTTAGGTCCTGTGATGGTGTTGCTGGTGTAGATATGTGGGCAGAGTTGGCATTGAGGTTTGTTGCATGGATTGGTTTCTGAGTTAGAGTTGTTATGGTGCGGTGTGTGGTTGCTGGTGAGAATATGCTTAAGGTTGACGGGTTGTCTGTGGGGCGAGGACTGGCCTGCCTCTCAAGGTCTGTGAAAGCGAGGGATCGTTGTCCAGGATGGGTTGTAGATCACTGATGATGCGTTGGAGAGGTTTAAGCTGAGGACTGTAGGTGATGGCCAGTGGAGTTCTGTTGGTTTCTTTCTTGGGCTTGTCTTGTAGCAGGAGGCTTCTGGGCATACGTCTAGCTCTGTTGATTTGTTTCCTTATTTCCTTGTGCGGATATCGTAGTTTTGAGAATGCTTGGTGAAGATCTTGTAGGTGTTGGTCTCTGTCTGAGGGGTTGGAGCAGATCCGGTTGTACCTCAGCGCTTGGCTGTAGATGATGGATTGTGTGGTGTGTCCAGGGTGGAAGCTGGAGGCATGAAGGTAGGCATAGCGGTCGGTGGGTTTTCGGTATAGGGTGGTGTTAACGTGACCATCACTTATTTGTACTGTGGTGTCTAGGAAGTGGACCTCCCGTGTAGATTGGTCCAGGCTGAGGTTGATGGTGGGTGGAAGCTGTTGAAATCGTGGTGGAATTCTTCCAGAGTCTCCTTCCCATGGGTCCAGATGATGAAGATGTCACCAATGTAGCGTAGGTAGAGAAGGAGCGTGAGTGAACGAGAGCTGAGGAAGCGTTGTTCTAGGTCAGCCATAAAAATGTTGGCATATTGTGGGGCCATGCGGGTGTCCATGGTGGTGCCACTGTTTTGGAGGCATATATTGTCACCAAATTTGAAATAATTATGCATGAGGATAAAGTCAGAGCTCAGCAACAAGTTGTGCTGTGTCATCATCAGGGATATTGTTCCTGACAGCTTGTATTCCATCTGTGTGTGGGATGTTTGTGTAGAGAGCCTCCACATCCGTGGTGGCTAGGATGGTGTTTTCTGGGAGATCACCAATGCATTGTAGTTTTCTCACGAAATCAGTGGTGTCACGGAGATAGCTGGGAGTGCTGGTGGCATAGGGTCTGAGCAGAGAGTCCACATATCCGGATAGTCCTTCAGTGAGTGTGCCAATTCCAGAGATGATGGGGCGTCCAGGATTTCCAGGTTTGTGGATCTTGGGTAGTAGATAGAATAACCCTGGGGTTCTAAGGGTATGTTGATTTGTTCCTGTGTTAGTGTAGGGAGTGTTTAAATACTGTACCTGTAGTGCAGGCGATTCCGCTCGCCATTACACTCAATGTCATTTTGACTATACGCAATTTTTGCTTTACGCGCTGACAGCGGAATGTAACCCCAGCGTAAGATGAGACTCGCCTGTACCTTTATACAGTTCAGTTAATTTTCTACCATTGGCTCACAGCAAATGAAAATATAAGTGCTCAAAAAGGCTCATTTGGGAAGAATGAAATAGATTTGATCAGAAAAGTGTGTTCACAAGGGAGTAGATTTTTGCGGATATTCAGAGAAATATAAATTCTAGCCCTGATATATAAATCCCTGAATAACATTTGTGTTCTATGTAGTAATCAATCAAAATCCTTCTTTTTTTCTTTTAGTCCAAACGAGAATTGATCAGCTACAAACAAATGGGCAAAATCTTCTCAAGGAATTGGATAATCTTTATAACATAGAAAACCTCAGACTTCCTCTAGCACTGAGAGAAATGAACTGGCTTGACTACTTTGGTATGGTCCATCCACTCCAATATGTATTGACAAAATAGTTCAAAAATTTACTAAATGTAGAGCTATAAGTGAGTTTATAAGTCATATTCATCCAGCTAGTGGACTCTGTTTAGTGACATATCCTAGTTGCATGATTTTCAGAAACGTAATTACTATTTATATTGCTATCTATAATGACCTTAAATTATTTCTTTTGTAACACATCACATTTAAAGTCAGTATATTGGATAATTTTATTTGTATGAAAGTGCTAATTCAAAATAAGGCTTCAAATGTTTTTCCTTTGGATGTCTTAAACTCACTGGCACATGAGACACGAGGTGTGGCACTGGGTTAACTGGGTGCAAAATCATGTGTTTAAAAAAAATCTTTGGGAACAAGAAGAGGCAAATTGAATATCCTATCCATTCATAGACAACCACAGATTTTCTGTTTACGATAAATCCTGCTTTCCCACTAGTTTCTTTATCTTAAGCTGGGCATTAACTGCCAAGAAATGCTATTTGTTTAGATGTTTATTGTTTAATTCTACCCAAGTATTAAAACTTTAATATTGCATAAATTACTCTGGTTGTACATTGATAAAAAAATGTTCTGTCTCCAGCTAAAGGAGGAAGTAAAAAGGCCCTAGAAGAAGCAGCAACGGTAGGTAACATACATCTAGTGTAGCTCCTAAGTCAAATAGAAACTTCTTTTCTGGTACTACTGTATAATGTTTTTAGGAACCCAATCTTTATTTAAACCATTGTATCATTTTAAGAGTCTTACCACAGCACTTAGTGAAAGGAATAAATAAGACATGTAATGTTTGTAGTCTCTCCTGTCTGTCCAAAGTGCTAGCCTTCTCCTTCAATTATTTGGTTTATGGTAAATCTTGACACTCCTTTCTCCAAGATACATATCCAGTCTCCCATGCAGTGCATTTTAATGACTATTGAAACTCACTTAGTTGTTATGGCTGCCACCTAACACAGACTTCTCCAGAATCTTTACTGAGGCCAGGTCTACACTCAAAAGTTAAGTCAGCTCAGCTACATCACTATGGGATGTGAAAAATCCACACCCCTGAGCCACATAGTTAAGCTGACCTAAGCCCCAGTATAAACAACCCTTGGTTGATGGAAGAATTTTTCCACCACCTAGCTACTGCCTTAGAGACATGGATTAACTATGCTGATTGGAAAACCCCTCCCTTTGCTGTAGTGAGTGTCTACTCTGAAGCTCTACATGGCTCAGCTGCAGCGTTTCAAGTGTAGAGAAGCCCAGAGTTTGAAGCACTTGGTAACTGGAAGACTTGTTCCTGAATTCTGTAACTACCTCTTTGCTTGTCTTACTCAGAGGCTTCTCAAGTTTCAGAAATTGACCTTGTAATTCAAACTGTGTCTCGGCAGTTGATGGTGGGTGTCTGCCTTTGATTTTTAAATAGCAAGTGTCCTGACATCCTTTCTCTCATGGCCCAGATAGCTGAACGTTTTCAATTGTAGCAGTCTTCTTATAAGAAGCCATTTTTCTGCAATGAAATCTTGGCTTGCCTACCAGTGATACTAAACAGACTATCAATTAAACAATATTTCCTTACTGTTATCTTGCCCTGCCTCACTCACCAGAGAATATGCATTTCTTTGTAAACCAGAAAACTGCTACGTTGGGATTGGATTGAAATGTTTGGGGGTTGGGAATAGCTGTAGTTGTTGAATAAAGCCCTTCAGTGCTAAATGCTACGCAGGTCCTGCAAGCTGTTACCATTTCTAAAATACTGGGGAAGTGTGAACACAGCAAAGTGCAAAGCAGCATAGAATCATTTTTATTGTAAAGTAATGATGAGTTTACACTGCTGTTTGCAGGCAGTTAGGAATGAGTTAGTTCTTTACTAATAATACACATGGTATTCTGATTGCTTTTGGTTTTAGGCAGATTTGGAACTATCAGAAATAAACAAACTTACAGCAGAAGTTATCCAGACGCCTTTCAGAATTGTCAAGAAAGGTCAGTTTGTTTACAAGCATTGCTGAATGTTCTGGGTGCAATCAATAGCGGAATGTTTTTTCGTTCCTTATGGATCTTGTTAACTATCTTCCAACTCTCATTAAATGGCCTAAATAGGTTTCAAAGAAACAATTGTTGCTTCAGTCTATGTGATGTTACATCTGGAGTGTGTTAACTTAGATTTGCTAAATCTTATAGAAGTGTTGTTCACATTTGTTTATGCCTTCCATAAAACCCCTTTCCTTATAAAATCCTACTTTATCTCTATATAAGTATATAACTACTAGTTCAATAACTTTTTTGCCAAACAAACTTCACAACTGTTTTCTTTTCACCCTACCTGTTCGTGGATAATTTAATATGCTTCTAATTTTTTTCAATTTGGACACTATTTTCTCCTTCTAGCTGAAAAATCCAAACAGGATATCGATGCCATTGAAGAAGAAACAGAACTTAGTTTGCTCCCTGTAGCTAAGAAGAGGAAACAGGACAACAAAGCCCTTGAAGAATCAGAGCCAGAACATGCAAATGTTAATCCCAAAACAGGAAAGGTAAATAACTGATCTATGGTGGTGATGGCCCAGGTAGGAAGTGAGTTGACTGTTGATCGAGGTGATGCTTACAGGCTTGCTTGCCATAGGCTAGCTGCTCGTTTTAATCAGCATTATAGGTTTATATAATCTTTTTATTTTACATTTGTAAAATATAACTTTACAACTAGTTTTATTTTGCAGAAGAATATGTGTATTTCTCTTCTGATGCAACTTAAATCACATGACCATCTGAAAATCTTATCTATTCTATTTGTAATATCCAAGATTACTATAATGGGAAGAGAGATATTTCTCATTTTGTTTTCCTGTGCATTTGAAAAAGTTCTCTGTGTAGTCTCTTTCACTGTTTTCCCTCTGTACTGTAAAGTCAATTTTCCTAGTTTGTTTCTGTGTGAAAGACCACACATTGGGGAGAGAATTTCTTTTAAAAGGGGAAAATGTGTAAAACCACAAACTGTCAGGGGACTTAATATATATTTTAATATATTTTGTGTCTCTCCAAACCTTCATTGAGAAATTGTAGTTTCCACCTTTGCTTCATAGCCTGAATTCTGTTTGTCATGAGATCAGAGTCCACGTGATATGTGAGTGCCTTAGATAGATTCTGTTATAAGGTAGAATCCAACCACTGCTGAAAGTGTAAAGAAACATTTCATATCCCTTTTCTCTTAAATTGTATGTTAAACTTCCCTCATGTTCTAGGAGCAGGAGTCTCTTTACCCAAGACTGCTCTAATTAACTACTGGAACTTTGATATCTATGGAAAAGAATTCTGCACAAATCCCTGCGTCTTCCCCAGCTCAGCTCTAGGCTATGATAAAGCCAAGACTCAAAAGGGAAAGGTTTTCCACAATTTTGATCACCTGAGCAGGGGAACACTGAGTCTTGTTCTTCAGGTCCTGTTACCAGTGTTAGTTCAGTTATGGGAACACTTCTTCAGAACTGGAGGTGAGCTGTAGTTTGATCAAGAAACAGTAAATAATTCACTGAGTTCTGTGTGTTCCAGGTGAAGACATCAACGAAAAAACTGCTAGTTTCGAAGAGCAGAAGAGCTCCATCAGCGAGAGTGAAACGCATTAGTAAAAGGTAAGAGTCTGAAGTGATGTGAATCCCTCTTCTTCAGTGTGGGGATGGAAAGGGGAGACCAGAAATGATATTGCCAAAGTAGCCAAGGTTGGGGTGGAAGGATGGAGGAGGGAGTGATCTGGCTGACAAGGCATACTGTTCTGGAGGAGCTAACAAAGGTATGGTAGGGGTAAATGAAGGAGTTCTACAGAAGGCAGTCTCCAGTCTCATAGTAGGGTGAGGTGACTCACCAGCTATTCTCTTTGGGGGCGTGTGGGGTTTTACACTGAATCAAGCTGTCATAAAACTGCAGTCTTTGCAGCCAAGTCAAGAAGCATTACCTGAAATCAAGAGAAACCTCTAGTTTCCAAATACCCTCACATTGTTCTCAGCTTTTCTAACTAATAAAACAGATGGTCAGAACTGAGAAACAACTGCTAAGTCGATCTTTTAAAGGGCATCATCTTATCACAGCCACTCTCTTTGAGCAGGTCAAGCAAAAATAACTTTGTCACTCCAGCCCTTGGCCGAGTCCCTGATGCCTGCACATGGGGAAGGACCTCCACTGTCACCCCTAAGTTTGATTCCAGGTGAGTGTCCATTAATTAGCAAAGCCACGTAATTGTGTATTTATAGTATCCTGCAAAATGTCTCTATTAAATATCAGCATTTGCCAGGTGTCAAGGCATCTAGTGTGTCTTGCCATTAGTCTTGCATGAGATAAGACAGAACAGTTGCAATATAGATCAGCTTGTTACCATTCTGCCCCATGGCAGTGGCTGTTCATATCTGATGCATGTTCTAAGAGCCATAATATAACACTTCACGTATTCAAAGTGCTGTAGAAATATTGACTAACCCTCACAACCCTGAAATATTAAGGATGAGATAACTGAGGTAGAGAAGTGCGATTATTTGACTACTATTAGTAGAGTGTCACCAGCGGAGCCAGGATTAGAATTTGAGACTTCATGATTCCGTATTCATTTGTGCATGGCTTACTGTGCTCAGCCTTGTACTGTGCAATCAGCAAAATTGTAGTCTATTTGTTCGAACCGTCTCCACACTGTCCCTTCTCCCTCTCCTTTTCCCATTTTTCAAACATGTGCATCTGATGTGTGCAAAATTACTACCTGTGGTATGTAACCTATTGCTTAAACCAGCCTCTGTACTTGATGAGAGGGGGATAGCTAATATAACACCGAGTTTTTAAAAAGGCCCCGGGGCAATCCTGGCAATTACAGGCAGGTAAGCCTAACTTCAGTAACAGGCAAATTGGTTGAAACTATAGTAAAGAACAATGATCAGATATGTTGGGAAAGAGTCAACATGGCCTTTGTAAAGGGAAATCGTGCTTCACCAATCTATTAGAATTCTTTAAGGCGGGTGGTCACAAGCACGTGGACATGGGCGATCCAGTGGATTTAGTGTACTTGGACTTTGACAAGATCCCATACCAAAGGCTCTTAAGCAAAGTAAGCAGTCATGGGATAAGAAGGAAGATCCTCTCGTGAGTCAGTAACTGGTTAAAAGATAGGAAACAAAGGGCAGGAATAAATGGTCAGTTTTCACAGTGGAGGGAGGTGTAAATAGCAGGATTCTTCAATGATGTATACTGGGACCAGTGCTGCTCAACATACTCATAAGTGATCTGCAAAAGGGGGTGAACAACGAGGTAAAATTTGCAGATGCTACAGAATTACTTAATAGTTAAGTTCAAAGGGGACTGTGAACAATTGCAAAGGGATCTCACAAAACTGGGTGACCAGGCATCAAAATTGTAGATGAAATGTAGAGTTGATAAGTGCAAAGTAATGCACATTGGAAAACATAGTCTCAGCTGTGATGGGGTGTCCATGCCACACAAGGCAGAGCAGGTTAAATTAGGTCAATTAACCTGGTAGACTGCACCTGGGACAAGCTTGATGGACAAGCACTAAGTGAAGATGGAGCCCAGCTGGGCAGGGGCAGGCTGAGTTCATATAAAGCCAGCAAGCTGAGAACACAAGGGAGCTGCTGAAGTAGTCTGCAGTCACTCCTTGGGAGGAGGAAGTTTGGGTTGGTAAACTCAGAGCAGGGGGAGCCAGAAGATAGAGCAAAGAAGTCAGGGAAAGAGCAACAGGGAGCAAGCAGACCATAATTGCTGGACAAAGGGTCCCTGGACTGGAACCCAGAATAGTGTGTGGGCTGGGGTTCCCCTTCCAGCCACTGGGAAAATGGCACAGGGCCTGGCCTTGGATGGGAAGACTGTCTGGAAAAGACAAGGACAGCTGATCCAGTGGGACTTTGATACCCTGGAAGGGGAGAACGACATAATGACCTGGCTAAGGGCTGAATCATGAAGAGGGAGCACTACATGTCCTGTAGAGTGAGGGGGGATGCAGTGTGAGCCACCATTCGGGGGGAAGGGGACGGCGGCACCAGACCTTAGTGGAACTAATACCCAGATGGGGCCACAAGGAAGTACCCCAACTATATATACAAAATGGTAGGGTCTGATTAACTGTTCCACTCAGGAAAGATCTTGGAGTCATCACGGATAGTTCTCTGAAAACGTCTGCTTAATGTGCAGTGGCAGTCAAAAAAGCTATCAATGTTAAGAACCATTAGAAAAGGGATAGACAGAAAATATAATGCTACTGTACAAATCCATGGTACATCCACACCTTGAATACTGCGTGCAGTACCAGTCACCCTGTCTCAAAAAAGATATATTAGAATCAGAAAAGGTACAGAGAAGGGCAACAAAAATGATTAGGGCTAAGGAACAGCTTCCATATGAGGACAGATAAAAAAACCTGGGACCATTCAGATTAGAAAAGAGATGACTAAGGGAGAGATATGATAGGGATCTAAAATTTCAAAAGAAAGTGCTTTAGTTTTTAGGGTTGGGTGCTTTCGTTTTTTAAACCCCTTGGGCCTGATTTTTAGAAGTGCTTATCGTTCTCAAGTAAAGCTGTAGTCAGTGGGAGCTGTGGGAGCTCATCATTTCTGAAGATTGGGCTCAGGATATCTGGAGCTATGCACATAAAGCCAGAGTCTGCTTTTGAAATGTTGGCCTAAATATGTCAAATGTCTTCTCCGAATTAGCTCTTTCCGTGTAAAATATGGAATATTAAGATGACTACAACACATCACTTAATAGCCTTAGGTTTTGGCCTCAGAGTTTTGATTGACTAAGAGCCAGAAGCCTGTAGTCCCACAGAAGAGGGTAGATGGAGGTCATAACTAGAAAAAAGAAGATAAGATAAATCATGTCCTAGTTTAATCAGAGTTTTTTTGTCAGTACAGTTGGTTTCTGTCAAGCTCTATTGGTTTTGCGCTTCAAGTTACATATTTTTCTCCAACCTTCTGTTTCCCTTGAAAATGAGATGTTTGAAATCTCTAGTTGGGGAGAATCTCATGTAATGTACTTCTGATCATTTTAATTGGCTGGAATAAATTATTCATCAATAACTTGGGAATGTCTTTCAGGCTTTTCAAGACACCAGGTCTACGCACGCCTGCAGCACGTGAACATGTTTACATAGTCTCTGCAAACGGCAGCCCTCTTGCTAACAGCAACGATGTCATCATTACAGTTCCTGTCGGAGGAGGAGAGGTAAAGCAGAAAGTTATTAAAAATGTAGAGAAATATTTTAGCGGGTTTTGAAGTGCACCAAATGCGATTTAAAATAATGGTTGATAGCAATATGTGCCATGGTACAATACAGCAAAGGTGTGAGATGAGTCTGTGGTCTCTATTTGTAACTAGTCCTGTTTTATCAGTAACCTTATGCTGTTCCCACGAAGTGGGTCCATCACTTGCTATAAAAGCAGTACATGGTTCCCTGCTCATAAATATAGTGGTCTATCAATCTTTCTAATATATAATCCAGATGCTTCAATCTTGTTTGGCTCTTTCACTGATTTCACTTACAAACTCACATGTACCGGTCTGACACAGTTGAACAGTAACTGAGACTTGTGGTCTTTTCTGTACAGAGCATTCGTTTAGCAGCCAGTGAGCTGACCAAAAGGAATTTGAGTCATCTCAATCCAGAGGCCCTGGGAATTATGAAGAAGCTATCAGTAAGTCAATATATACTTGGCTATGAGTTGAAACTGGTCTGCTGTGGTGACTAGCATTGTCATTGTTCCTGTAGCTAAGTTAATGGGCTGTCAGTATCCATTAGATTCTGTCTGTCATCTTTCTTCTTAAATTCTTTTCCTCTTGTGTCTGCCTGGATCTTGGCGCACCCAGAAAATATGGTTTTACACAATGTGGGTCTGTTCAGCTAATCAGGAAAATACACAGACTTGGGGCTTACACTCAGCTGGGCTGTATACAAACAGTGCTTTCATTAGTGGGAGAGAGCTACTGGTAGTGCTTAGGATTTAATTCAAGAGTGAACATGCCCTCCGTTTTTTCCAGTGTAGGTGGCTTTAAGATGGGGGTGGGCAAACTTTTTGGCCCGAGGGCCACATCTGGGTATGGAAATTGTATGGTGGGCCATGAATGCTCACAAAATTATGGGTTGGGGTTCAGGAGGGGGTGAGGGCTCCAGCTGGGGGTGTGAACTATGAGGTGGGGATGAGGGGTTGGGGGTGCAGGAGGGTGCTCTGGGCTGGCACCCAGGGCTTCGAGGGCAGGAGGGGTTTCAGGGCTGGGGCAGGGGATTGGGGCGTGGGAGGGGGTCAGGGGTGTAGGCTCCTGGCAGGACTTACCTCAAGCAGATCCCAGAAGCAGCAACATGTCCCCCATCCAGCTTCTATGTGGAGGCGTGGCCAAGCAGCTCTGCATGCTGCTCCATCCGCAGGTGCCGCCCCTGCAGCTCTCATTGGCCGCAGTTCCCAGCCAATGGAAGCTGCAGGGGCAGCGGCTGGCTGCCCCTACACGTAAGAGCCGGAGGAGGGACATGCCACTGCTTCCAAGAGCCACATGGAGCGGGGCAAGCCCCCGGCTGGAGTACCGGAGTAGGGCAAGCCCCGGACCCTGCTCCCCAGAGGTAGCTCGAGGACCGGATTAAAACGTCTGGAGGGCTGGATGCGGCCCCTGGGCCGTAGTTTGCCCACCCCTACTTTAGGATATGGCAGCATGTGTTCTTTACAAGTGCTATTTGTTAATCTTTCTCCTTTTTAGGTTCGTCTTGCACAAGCATGCAACAGCACGAACACCCAAAGATGAAATTTCAGGGATATTGACTTTCTTTGTAAATCTGGATCATCAATTTTAGGACTACAACCTGAATTCTTACTCTATTGTTTTACCTTTCTGTTACACGGTGAAAGTTAGGAACAGATTTTCAGCCTGTAATATATAATGTGATTAGAATAGGTTGACTTTTTTTTGTACAGAAAAAAGTACTTAGTTTCCTGTTTCAAGATAGCTAGCTACACCTTGGCCTTGGATCCTCCTGAGTGTATGAGAGGATACAGCTGCCCTGCAATCTGCAGAAGATCAAAGCAGTGGGACCTATTGGATTACAGGTGTGATTGACAAAAGTTGTATCTGGTTTTGGAGCAAAAGTGGTGGAGCTGCTCATTGCACTTATTACCAGGCAAGTCTTCTGTTTGTTGATGTCGTCGTTGAAAGGCGCTAGTTAGTTGTATTGTAAGAGCTGGAATATGAACCTCAATTACAAGTAATTAACAGGGGGGTGCTAAAAGAACATTTTGTTGCAGACCAGCTAATGAAGCTGCCACAGGTGATAGGGGTACAACAAATCCTTTGTTTTGTTCTTCTCACAGCAGCCACTGAACTTTCAATCCTGCTTTCCAGTTTACAGTGAACAATGTACTTGAAGTCTTTTATTGTACATCCTACTGTTGTTTTTAAAGAAATGAATACACTGGTGTGTTCTTAAACCCATAATTTTACTGAATTTTAAAGCTTCTATCTACAAAACCAATCATCTAGACCTCCAGTCCTCTAAGGCACATACACTTACTGGTGCAAGTCCCTTTAGAGTGGTTGGAGACAGCCAGTGGAGAACTCCCTCTGCACAGGGGAACTCTACTGCTTCCTGCACTAGCTCCTAGGGAAGAGATGGGGATGTGGCAGAGCCAAGTTCCACTATGTCTGGGTCTCCACTGGGATGTTCCCTGCATTCTTTTCATGAACAAAAAAAGTTTTACATAATAAATACTGTTTATAGATGGAATAAAATTAGTTACATATTCATTCTTTTACTGTTTTAGAAAATTCCTGCTTCGCTTAATAGTGCATGGACAGCACTGATGCATTAGAATGATCAGTGTCCAGCACCTTTCTCTTCTCCAGCATCTCTGTGATGGAAAAAGCCAGAAGCACTTCATAACCTCTGTGTAGGAATTATTTGACTGAAACCTGGCCTGGAACAACAACAACATCTGTTCTGTGTCTTTACACATCGTTTGCAGAGTTCTGAAGAGTAACTTTAAGAAGCCAGAATAAAAGTTCAGAAAGTTGAACTTTGCAATAAGAGTTAACACCCAAAGTGGAACATGAGCCCCAAATTGTCTGGGCTTCTGTTCTGTGCTTCATTCCAGAACTATAGGAATAATGGCTTGTCAACCTCTTTTCCTCTAATATCTGTTTTTCTATAGTGTACTTAACATTATATAAACTAAGGCAGTTCTTAACAGTAAACTACGTGCCCTCTTCCGATTCTGTCCCACCACATAATTCCAGTGACACTTAGTACAGAGCGCTTGGCTGTGATTCTCAATGTGCATTACAAAAGGTAACTATCATCCTCTTGTCTAGAAAGGGAATGGGACTACCTGGGGGGGAAAATCATGGGAAGAAAGTTCATTTGAACTTTTTTGTAGGAAAATTTTCATTTAGATTTTATTTGAATTTAAATTTCAAACTTTTGTTTTTTCCCTTTCCAGACCACTCTTTGCTTTTTTTCCTCCACTGACTGAAATACAATGACTGTCTAGGGTTTGTCTTTTCACTTATTTCTTTTCAGTTATCCTTTATCTCCTGTAACTTTTCAAATCCTCCAACTGTGGAAAAGTTGAGTTGCAAAAGGAAAAATGAAATTGTAACTCTGCCATTCTGTAACTTTCCAAAATTCCTTCAACTTCAGAGAACCTAGAATGGCAAACATTTTCAAAGCTGAGGAAATTTTGAACTGTTAGAGTGGCAGAGTTACAGGCTATTTTAACACACAGGGAAAGACGCTAGAGGTCTGTTTGCGTTATCTGACAACCTGCAGGCTTTGGAAGAAAGGCTGGACTTTTTTGTAACTCTTAATGGTGATCACCATACTGCAAGGGTCTGGAGGGGAAATTATCAGAATTTAGGAGCCACATCCCTGTCTTGAATGGGACAGTTTACCCGGCGTCTTTGTTCATCCTGCACATCATACTTTCTATGCAGCTTTGTGAGGCAGTTGGATTCAAGGGATGCCATCAACTTGAAATTCCTAACTTTTTTTCATTTTTCAGGAGACTGAAACATCTGCACAAAAGGAAGGTAAAGATAGCTAACCCGCTGCATAACATCAGCAAGCTGGAAAAAATAGGAAAAATATTTTGCCTCCCCCATTAGGTAATGTTACTTGAGCCAATAGCAGTTGCAAAAATGTAGGCAGAAATGTGATTTTTTGTGTTTCAGGTGGACAATATTCCTTTTAAACATGTAAACATAATCACTTTCTAGCCCATATATTTATATGGAAGGATTGCTACTTCTGAAACAACCACACACACACACTCCCTGCCCCAGTAAGAATAACCTGGCCTCAAAGATTAGAAAATGATAGCACTTCATGGAAAGCACTGTTTCTCTCTGCTGGTAGCCAGCAATTCACAGCCTCTCTAGTTTCAGCCCACAGTGAAGAATATTTTAATACAAAGTATGATTATGGTTAGAAAGTAGCTAAGCATGTCAGCGCGTAGTGCAAGCACTGGCTGCATGCAGTTGGGATACATCTACCCTTCAGTTGAAGGTATGAGCATAGTGTAGGGTAGGCATACCTGTGCTAGCTTTAATCTGCTATCACGCTAAAAATAGCCACGTGGATGCGGTGGTATCCGCTAGCAATGTGAGTCCACAGGCAGTGTCCAGGGCAGGTTTTGTACAGCCTGTGGAGAAGCCTGTGCCACTGTTTTCATTTCTAGCCACGCTAGCACATGTATACTTACCTCAGCTGCAGTCACACCTCAGATTGCAGTTTAGACATACCCTAAAGGAGCTCAGTTATTTAACACCTTGGTGGTTTTGGCAGCCTTCTCTAAATCCTAACTGCAGGTGGCACTCTGCAAATTATTAAGCCTCAGGGCTTTGTCTCAGCTTTACTACCTTTGCTGAATTCCACTGACATGTAAATATGAAAATGATCATGTTGGCTTAGAATCTAATTGCTTTGTAAATACTGCAGTCTGGAAGACAGAAATCAAAGCCAAAAACCTGCATTAAGAATGTTTTTCATCCTCTTTCAGTGCTTTTCCATGTAAAAGCAAATTTGTCCAGCACAGATCAAACATTTCCCTTATTCCTCTGCCCTCTACACTGGCTCCCTATCAAATCCTGGACTTAATTCAACATCCTGGTCCTAGTCTTCAAGGCCCTACTTTTAGAGTCCTGCAAAGCTGCAGCTATCCGCAGACCACGTTTGCAGATCGTGGATCGGCGCGGATGAATCCGCGCAGGGTTCTACCTACTTTGGTTTGTGCCTAATTACTTTAGAATCATCAGTCTCTGTGGCCCAGCAGTGAGCTGCAGTACTGCTATTGCTGATCAAATGTTCATGGCACTTTTGGTGGAAGGACAGAACTCAAAAGTACAAGACAGCTGTGTGCAAGCCTTTTCCCAATCATGGCCCTTGCAGAATATACCCTGAAGCCAGAACAAACTACAAGGTGTGGATGGCATGGTGCTTTTGGACCTTGATTGTCATTTAACTAAGTACTTGCTTTGACCCAAGGTGCGATGGAGAGGAGCCCGTTAGAAATGACAAAGATTAGGAGCACAAATCAAACTTTAAATGAAGGCAGAGTTTGTTCCTGCTTTGCTCTGTACTGAATCATGCAGCCCCACTGGATACACTATTGTTAAGGCTGTGAGACAGTTTTCACTTCCTCTGACACTTGCCTTTGCGCTTTCTAACATTGGGTTCACTAGCTCCCAGTTCGTAGAAAGCATTGGTTTCTAGCGCTAGTAGCTTTTGAGATAGCAGATATTAAAATCAGGTGATGGGAAGAAACAAGATGCTAATTGGAATGACTTGAATTTATGGTCTGTTGTCTCATAACTTACCTTAGACAAAAACGAATGCCTTAGCCCCCTAGCCTGCCTTCCCAGCTCTCCAGTGATGGAATCCTGCATTCATTCCTAGCTCTAGTGGCGCCTGAGATATTGGACTTTAAAACTGGCACTGATCCCTAGGAGAAGCAATGCTGCTTTTTTCAGCTGAACATAGCAAGTCCTAATCCTCGAAGCAGCGTCCCTGAAATCTTGCTATACGTTTCTGTGCAATGAAAGGCAGTTGCATCCACGCTGGCACAGGAATTAATGCAGCATTTACACCCGCAGCAACAAACAGCCATAGCAAACTTTAACCCCTGGAAAATGGGACAAAGCAGGACCTGCAGAACGTAAGCTAATGTTTTATGGATGCATTTTTAGGGTCCCTATCTAATTTGTTTCTGTTTGGGTTGTTTTGTGACTCGTACTGGCCTCTCGGCCCTAGCATGGGATAGACTTGGTCTGAGGGCGTGTTAGCTGCAGGCTCCCTTGGGGCTGGGTTGGTACCTTCTGAGAATGACTCTGTTTTTGTTGTCCTGTAGCAAAGAATACTGATAATATTCAACTACATTTGCAACTGGTGTCAGCCAGAGTTAATTAGACCAGACATGAATTAAAGCAACCTGGCAGCCACTAGCTAAACCCATTCATTACCTGAGTCCATTTCCCCAGGCTGCCTGTGCTGTTCGCTCTCTGGAACAGGGATAAGAAGTAGTTCATTTTCCTGCTGTTCTATCACTCATGTAAATTACTAGCAACATTTCTGGCCCCTTTGCACATTACATGGCAGATGCATTTTGTTTAACAAAATAATTACAACTGCCCTTTTCTGCTCAGTGCAGGGATTACTGGAACATTACAAGGAAGGGGCTTAGGGTTTTTGTGCTTGTGTGCGTTTTTTTGCATGCCAACCTGGCTAGTGCCAGCGTTGCCCTTTCGAACTAAGTCGTGGAAAATGAAAAGCTACGCAGCAAAACACCGACTGTCAAGTTGAAAAAGCATCTGCATGCATCACTGACAGGTGGTTGAGCATTTGCCATGAGACTGAAATCAGCCGTGTGTTACATACAGTTGCTGCCACTGCAAGACCTGAGAGTTTTTCCTCTGGATAGGCATCAATGATTATATGGACTGGGCTATGTGAAGGGAATGCCTCCCAGAGGAGGAGGAGGAAAGGCCTGGTGCCTCTTTCCCACACAGATTGCCCAGGAAGACATTCTCAGAACAGCTGCTCTGCAAATACTCATCTTGAAAATCAAAACAAAAACACTTCAAGGGCTTTGTTCATTGGTTTGTGGTTATAGGCTTTTCTTTTAAAGTAGAAGGCACTGGGAGACCTCCACTTCTCATAGCTAGTTCCCTGGAATGGGGGTGGTGCCGGGTGTGCGCAGAGGTATCTCTGCCAAAGCTGTGAGCTGTGCTCTTTCCTGGGAGGAGCGTGGCAATCCCCTGAAACAAGCAAGCATGAAAAGTGATGGCATTATTTACCTGCAGATGAGGTGGCTGGGGCCCAGCACATCTTTTTAGGGTCCAAGTGGCTTTCCTGAGCCATTGGAATTTTAAAACAAGTTTCTCCTCTAATAGGTCGGGCAGAAATAGAGCCTGTGCTAGTCCCTAGTGTGTAGGTGACCCAACATGAAGCAAGACAGCAGCAGTGTGTTGCCTTGTTCCCACAAAGTGCTTACACATTAGGAGAGCAAGAACATCACAGAAAAATTCACCCCCCCGTTCGCCCACCTGAGGCAGCCAGTCCCAGAAAGTCAGGTGTAAAGCTCACCCAGCCCTCAGTACAGCAGTTCAGACTTGTGCCAGATGGGAGCAGCAGCAAGCCGTGCTTTGGGGTAGCTCTCTTGTATGCATGCGCCAACCTTTGCTTGCCATGGGTTTCATTCTGGGTATCAAACTCCAAAGTTCAGCCCAAATTTATAATGGAAATCTGAAATATT